TGGGAATCTTGTTCAATTCATGCAGCTCCCAGCAGTGGACTTCTCTTTCTTCCAATTCTTTGGACAACCACAGTAGCAGTCCTAGATATCAAGGGAAATATGACCATACATTTATTAACATTGTGTTGTAAGTATGGCACTAGATACATGATATTAAGTGCATATTAGATGTTATATTGTCTATCATGTGACATTGGTAGGAATATCACAGAGATTTCTTTTTAGCCCATACAAAAGCCCTATGGCTTAGGTAGTATCGTTCTACTATAAGATGAGGAAATAAAAGTCCAGTGTTGACGTGTGACTTGCACACGTTCATAAAACCTACAGGCAGTTGGGAGATTCTAAGCCAATTGTGTCGAACTTCAAAGTCCTCTACTTGTCTACTCTATTGTGCTAAATTCCCAAGGCAACAACTCACTTTAAATAACAGTTCTGGAAAGGAAAATGAAAAAGCATACCCTCTGAGAGGAAAAAATGTCATATCGCTGGGTAGATATTGGGAGAGAAATTAGTTCATTTTGTCAATCCAATAAATACAAACTCACTTATATAAATAAGTGAGTTTATATAAATATATATTTATATATAAATATAAACTCACTTATATCATAATACTGTCCCACTGGGCTGAGAGAAAGACAAGGTCATGGTATTTGTTGTCTTTCTTCCTGCACAGAGGGCTAACCTAGCCCCGACTCGGGGCCAAAGTCCAGAACAGTGATTCTGTTTCTTTCTCATGTCTCTAAATATACTTAGACTAAGTATGAATGCAATGATTTAAGTCACATTTTCTGTACCAAGAGAAAGTGTATGTGTGTATAAAAATTTTGATTAACCAAAATACATGGAGAGTGAGGTATCATGTTTAATTTTCTGGCTAACTATTAAGCTGCTGTGCTTACTGAAAAGAAATTCATCATTTTTCTACCTGTGACAAAATATGAAGCATTGCTTTACATCTAAGAATAATGAATTATTTTGAATAGATTGCATTGATGTTTGCTATATGTAGAAAGAATTTAAATGAAACTTGATAGCATGTTACAAAGAATCTACAAAGAATAACCATGAGAGGATAACAAGAAGGGGAGTTGAGGCTTCTTTGGGGATTATAAATACTTATATATATACCTATATTTATATGCCTTTAGTAAGACATTGCTTATTAAAATATTAAATGTAAATATAAAATATAAGTATATGCCATTATATTTTATTTGAATTTGCTTCTATTTCTAAAGTATATGTCAGTCAGCAACATGAATGCATGCGATTTCAAATAAACTTTATCATGTATAAGAGAGAAGCACGGAATTGTTTTGATTGTGCTTGTGATCACATTTGGATCTGTTTTGTATCTTTTGTTCTTCCCTAAAATTTCAAGCACCTAGAAAAACATTCACAATTACTTGCAATTAAATACATAAATAGAAGTCATTAAAATTATATATGTGTGTAAGTGTATGTTTTAATGTGACAAGAATCTGCAGTAGTTCCATCAGGAAACGCTGTGGTCAAGTTCATGATGCCTTGTACTATACTGACCTCTAGTGGTTAGTAAGTATAACACAGTTTAAAAACAAATTTGTTTAAATTTTGTTTCAAACAGAATTCTTGACTTTGAAAAAAGTTGATAGCAAAATATTTAAGTAGGTAATGAGTTTATAAATTATTTATGCCTAAAATTTCTTTTATATTTGCCTATTTTCATTTTCATGTCTACCTCTCTTGGAAGCATGGACTGGAATTCCTTCACTGTTGAACTCCATGAATGAAGACCACAGTCTCATGCATGGATTTGGGAACTGAGTAGTTCTCTGATTAGCAATAATGTGTCACATCTGTACTAAAGAATGATTAAATTCAATATTGGTTCAAGCAAACTAACAACGGTCACAATTTAGTGAGTGTGCATTGTATTTAAGGCACAATTCCATTGCAGGAAACTTTCTTCTCACAAAATTCCAATAAAGGACTATTGCCCCCATTTTATGGGTGATAAAACTAAGTCTCAAGGATATTGAAGAGATTATTCAAAATCACATAAAGAGTAAATGGTAACGTTAAGCTTGAAACTGAGGAATTTTTTCCAGTGAATACAGTCTCCCTGCATTTTAATCTGAAACATTTAAAAGTCCATTTTGTTTTTCTAAAATGGTATAACCCAAAGTATGTTTTCCTGTAAAATGCCAGGTGCACAATTTCTGTAATATAATTGTTCTTCTATTACAGTCAACAGTGCTCACAGGATTCACTGATTATGTTACAATGTAACCATAAATGTAAGTAAATATTTTGGCATGTTTTCCTTCAAACTTTTACTTTGAAATTCTAAATAGAGTTGGTATGTTGCCTCAAGTTTTATTGTAATGATTCACTCAATAGTCACGAACAGAGAAAATCCAACAAAATAAAATAGATGCTTCCTTCAATTGTTTTAATAGCCTGTGGGAAAAAAATGGCAGTTCAAGAAGTCAACCCAAAGATTGTTGGAGGAAGTCATGCCAAAGAAGGAGCCTGGCCCTGGGTCGTCAGTCTATATTTTGACAACAGGCTGTTGTGTGGTGCTTCTCTGGTCAGCCCTGACTGGCTGGTGTCTGCGGCTCACTGCGTGTATGGGTGAGTGTGATGCCACAGCACCCCTTCCCTCACACGATGGCACAGTAGACATTGGGCTTCCATTTCCAGTAACCTCCTAAAACAATTCCCATCGGGGATATGTTCCTGCTGTTTATATCATAAACTGTCCAATCATTTTCCCTTCAAGTCATGTGTAAAAACAGAAAATTAGATTAAAAATCTTTCTTTCTTAGAAAGTTGCATCAAATACTATGTTTCCCACTTACATAAACTTTTTTGTCTATTCACTGGTAAGCATTTTAAGGTATAAAATTAGTATTTATTATGTAAATTGTCCTGTTATCATTCAATTAGGTCAAAATTTATTGCCAACAAATTGACAATATCAAAAAATCATGAAAAGATAGCCCTCAATTTATATATAAAATAAAGTGTGCCCTAGAAATTTATGAATAAGCACTTTTTGTGAATTAGGATGAAAATGTTTATGTAGCTCTCAAGTCAAGCCTCTTTGATACTCCCCATAACTGAAACTTAGGATAGCGATCATATCTATCTATAAATTCAGGTGGCTGGATTTATTTTTCCCTGTAGAGGCAGCCCTCCCTAAAGCTCAGAGAAGAATTAGAGACAGTAAGGAAAGGAGGAGAAAATAAATAATCCCAGACCCAAGAACATGTTAATTTTTTGCATCTGCATGAAGGAAGAAACCTCTTTATGTAATCTCATTATAACACTTCTGAATTAGGTTACAAAAAAATAGCTTCTTCAAAGAAGATTCAAGACTCAGGGTGATTTCCTGCTCCTAGTTGAGAGAGACTTCCAGAGAATGACCTTAGCTGTGAGAATTGAAATGAGCTTCTCCCTTGCCAGCATCCTTAATCTCTGAGGAAAGAACCAGGTGTGTGTAGGAATGAAAGAAGCATCTGTAGCTGATCAGATTAAAAGACTAACTCCCTATCAACACAGTCATTAAAAACTGTCAGGTAGATGGAGACACAGACACAGAAGGTTGTGAAACGTGGGAGATACAGAAGGCTGAGAGAATAAGTATTAAAGGATTGAGTTAACACCTAAATACCATTGTGCCAAAGTAAGGGTAAATTGAACTCACAATTCTAGGAACCTGGAAATGAAGACCCTCAGCTAGATTCCAGTTGGTCAGTAACCTGGCCTCTCAAGGAACTGACTCCTCACAATACTGCCCCATCTAAGTCTGATTCTTATATTCATTACACCCTGTATCTGGGTCAGTAAACTACAGCTCTTCCATATCTAAAGGGCACTTTCTTTACTTTGCTTCCTCCTAATAATTGATCTGCTTTCACCCATAACATAACAAATGTCAGTAACAGTTCATTTCCTTGCTAAACATGATTTGAACCTTTACTTATACAAACTCTGTGCCTTGGGCATGCCATAAGTGGTCGCCTATATCCGAATTTGTAAGTAAAGGTATCTTTAGTTAATAATTCACTGTTTTCTGTTGCACATAGGTTGTTGTTAGTTGAAATGCCTTGTATTAATCTCATATTTGATAAATTCATCTGTTTGATGTTCATGTATATCATATGCTTTTGAATGTCAACCAGGCTTGCAGTAATACTAATGACATCTTTCAATTATCCACCTTACAGGTGGACTTATTGTGGGTCAGTGATACCAGTGTCATTACTTTTCAAACCTCAAATATATGAAAGGAATAGAAAAGCAGTTTCCTCTAATATAAACATATGTACAGTCATATAGGCCATAAAAGGTCTTTTTTACACCGTTTCAATTTGAACATAGCAAATGTAAGTTATAACTGAATTGTGATAAATTGTAACATCCTCATCAACCTTGTACTTTATTCTCCCCTTAGTCACTAAAGGGCATTATTTTTTTCTCCAGTTGCCAGTTTTCCTTGCTGTCTACTTCGTGTTTCTTGTATTATTTTAGTTTCATCAAAATACATATTTTACTGTATGCTAATATTGCTTGTTATTTGTCTTTTTTTAAATCCTTTCTTCAATAAAAAACTTAATTTCCTAATCAAAGGAATTGAGATCAAGCAAGTTATTGAAATCATACATATCCTCAATATAAATCTGTTCCAGGTATTTAAACCTACAGGTCATTTAATAGTTTAATTGCATAGTTCTTTGCTGTCTATATTCTTGTGTGATTGCTATTCCCATTCCTCAGCTTCATTGTGCCTGGATTACCTGAAACATCTGTACACCTGTTCTAGTTCATGATCACTGACTTCTCTTCTTTTGAGAAGAGGACTGCATCTCTTATGCAGTCCTGCATAAAGGAGAGGTGTGGAAAGTATTGGCCAACTTTGCTGTGATTTGAATGTCCAGGTTCACTTTGAATCAGAGGAGAGGACTTTGATCCTGTCAACACTACGGACCTCATATGCAATTATAGACCAGTAACTTAGTATTTAGTTTCAGTTTCCTTTCTGTAGGGTGACCATTAATAAATCTACCTCTTAGGGTGATTGTCAAGATGAAGTTAAGATGCTGTAATACTTTTGCATGCTATGAATCATACAAAGCATAAAAATATGCGATAAAAAATTGCATCATGCTCCTTGCCACTGTTGATGTGTCCGCTCAATGCATGTGGCTATATGGTTGTAAGTAGGACTCCAAATGACAGCTCTGACTCATAGTACCATAGGGTACATTCTAGTTGTATATCTTTACATATTTTTAAATGTTATCTCCAATAATAAGATACCTTGCTCCTGACATCCACAATATATATATGTATTTGCTCAAGCTTCAAACACAAAATGTAGTTTGAAATTTGCTAACCCATACCACTGTATAAAGCCAGCTTGCCAAGTAGAGTTTCGTATTTGTTTCCATTTTTTTCCCAGCTGATATATAGCAAAATGCACAATCTTGAGTACAGAATTTGAGGAGTTTTTAAAATGTATACACCTGAGTAACCTAAACTCCCATCAAGACATTAAAACATTTTCATTTCTTGGAAAGTTGCATACTACTCTTTCTAGGTCAATCATCATCCCTGCTTTCAGGAAAAAGAAAAAACAAAAAAACACTATTCAGTCACTTGAGTGAGCAGTCCTGCATAGATTTATAGTCTGGAGAACATTTATTGAATAGAAATCCATTAATGGTTAAATAATACACAGAGAGGCCCCTTGTCAATCTTCCACCTTTAATTGAACTCTTCAAGAAGAGCAAATATATCATATGAATTATCTTCTTCCTTATTGAAATGATTCCATAAATGGATGTTAACAATCTTGAAACTGATGATTTCATATATATGATATGTTTTGAGGTATAGCAAGAAATGGACACTATTTATACTTTAGTGCTAAATTAAATAAACTGGTAATACTAATAAAACTTTGAAACAAATTTTTTAAACATTAAGCATTGCTGATAAAATAGCATTAATTAAATGATGCTTCTACTGAAATTTAATATTTGGGTTTTTGAGTGCTTCAAACACTTCTAGGACTAGAGCACATTATACACAAAAATAGTTACTATAAAGTTATTTTATTTGCACTTAAACCTACAGTCAAAATATAAGCATTATTGGCTTGATTCACTTCTCTCTCTACTTTTATTACTGTAAGAGTTTACAGTAATAATATATATCTCATTCAGGTTTCAGAAATACTATACAACCTGTTCAAGATTATAATAATCTTTGCAGATCAAGGTTATAGTAATTTTGGCAGAAAGAAGGGTGTTTTCTTAGCTTATTAGATTTCAAGATTAGGTTAGTGACTTAATAGTTTTTGGTTACTGAAAAGATGGTTCCTTTTTTAAGGTATTTCAAGTTTAAGCTTTTAGGCATATTTTTGATAGTTAAAATTATCTCACTGTATTGCTAAAACTTTTTAGACTTATTCCTTCCTCATAAATTTTATCAGTTTCTAATCTGATATCAATCCCTCAAAATTTTATATTCCTCCGGTCTCTTTTGGCCCATAGTGTGTAAGCCATTTCCTTGATGCTATCCTATTAGCATTATTTTAAATAGCATATTTATTATTTATAGGTATCTTGTGATAACTATTAGTCCACACAAGTTTTATTTTCAATAAAATATTCAATAAATTGTTCCAATATCAGATCTCTGAAATTACCTCTACTTTGACAATTAATTCGTCATCTTGAATCACATTTGATTGAGACCTCTTTTTCCTTAGAATTTTGTGCATATAATTCACATTGCTTGTAAAACCAATGTATTACTCAATGGAATACTACAAATAAGTTAAAATGGGTGAAATGGCATTTGGGACAAAATGAACGGACCTCAGGATGATTATGTTAAGTGAAACAAGTCAAAAGTGAAAGACAATTATTGGATGATTTCACTCATCTGTGGAATATAAATAACAAAAAAACATACATGAGCAAAATAAAGCAGGAATAAATCTTGGCCTTAATGGAAGAATTTAATGGTTACCATTAGGGAGAGGGGAGAGGAAGAAGTGGGTATTGATTTGAATGGTTTGGTGGGGGGTGAGAGGAACTTGTGAATATAAGGAGGAGTGAAATTGTAACCCCAACATTAAAATTAAAATATTTTGTTTAATTAAAGGTAGCAAGTGACTCAAATGTGGTTCCAAAGTTTAGAACCACAATCTAGAACTAGAGATCAAGAGATGTTTAGAAGAGAAAAAGATGAAGACTAACTAAGGTTTCCTCTATGATTTGATCAGAAAGATAAAAATTAAAGAAATATATTTATTTTTTTAAAGATTTATTTATACAAGAACTGGAGTACAGGCCAGAGGTGTGGGAGTTGAGAGGATTCACCAGAGACAGAGTGGGGAACAGAACAGGCAGGCTGACAAAATACACTGCTGAGGGGAGCAGCGGGTGAGACAGGAGAGGTCTGCTGTGCCATGTGGGATTCTTGCCGGCCGGCCAGCTGGGATCAAACCCACACTGCAGAGGCTTCGGACAGCTTCACAGTGTGGCGCTCAACCGCCTGTGCCACCAGAAATATTTTTAAAGGTGAATGATGCAGTGGCCTTCCAGTATATTTTAAGATGTGAACACATAGTTCTGAAATATCAATGCCAAAGATCTCTTAGACAGTAACACAGTAAGTGGTGGATAGAGTTTCTTACCTTTTTTCCTATCCTCTTCAGGCGCAATGAACCACCAACTCAGTGGAAAGCAATTCTGGGCCTGCATATGGCATCAAACCTGAGTTCTCCTCATATCGAAACACGGTTGATAGACCAAATTATCATAAATCCACATTATAATAAAAGGGTTAAGGACAGTGACATCGCCATGATGCACCTCGAATTTAAAGTGAATTACACAGGTAAAATAAGTCGCTTTGAATCCTCTTATCTGCAGAAATTAATTCAGCATTTGATTTAAAATATTTAAAATATTACCAGCATGAATACATTAATAGTCCATAAAAGTTGGATAATTTGTTACAGAAATCATTATAATTTAAATGGAATTGGGGAATGGAGAGAAACATATTAAATTACCTTCATTGAGGTGTTTAAATCCAATTTTCTAGAAAGTTGACCAGAAGAATAAAATTTAGAGTCCATTATAGCAGTAAACTGAAAAGAGCAGTTGGGAGAAAGTAGTCCTTATTATAATGCACGTCCTGTCTATTTCTCATTTAAAGGAAGGCAGGGCCATCTGCCACATAGGCCTGAGTAGACCTGCTCAGGACAAAGGAGACAAGAGGCATATGTTCTAAGAAGGGATTTTTAAAATGAGATTCAATATGAATAGCGTGGCAGATGGGAGACTCCCTCCCAAAGCCTAGATAATGTACAAGAAATCATCTGAGGGAGTGCACTTTATCCTGAGGAGCTCTGCACAATTCCAGTCTTTTTTTTTTTTAATTTATTTTAAAGGTTTGTTTATTTATGCATATAAGAGCTGGGGCACAGGCCAGAGATGCAGGGGGTGAGAGGATTCACCAGAGACAGAGCAGGGAACAGAACAGGCAGACTGACTGAAACACACTGCTGAGGGGAGCAGCAGGCGAGACAGGAAAGGTCTGCTGCGCCATGTGGGTTGCTCCCTGGCCAGCCTGGGGATCAAACTCATGCTGCAGAGGCTGTAGATTGCTTCATAGTGCTGTGCTTAACCCCTTGCGCCACCACGGAGGCCCACAGTTCCAGTCTTGACTCAGAAGCTCCCGTGTCCAGTTAAGACAGAGTGCTGCCTTCTCTATGCCCTTGTGGGATTTGGACTAAGCAAGTATTATGGCATTTGTCAAAGGCAGAAAATTACTATAGTTGGTGTGTGGCCTTGTCCTTGATGATGATAAACACTGCATTTGATCATTTCTTACTCATGTTGGTGTCTGCCCTGGGTCTTCCATACTCCGCATGTCTAATGAATGTCTAGTACTTGGTAATTGTTGAAGGATTTTAACAGCCAGTGACCAACGCTCATGCTGTCCTAAGCTGCCTGTACAGCAATCACAGAAAAGCTTTCTTAAAAGTGGATATTTAATCTAGGAAAATCAAAACAGCTCAGAACATTTCCCCAAGTTTTACTTGACTGATTCTCAAAAAAAAAAAGCCTTATTTTTCACAGAACTGGCACTACTTCCTGTTTGCTACCATTATTTAAAAAAAAATCAAAATAAATGATTAACTCCAGAATTAGGACTGTTTACATTTTAAAAGAGTAACTAGGAGACGCTGTGGAAGACCTTAAAATGCCACCGGTGGTCCCTAATTCATTGTTAAAAAGAGTACTGCTCTGAAATGCTTCTTTCCACTAAGACCCAGGTGAAGAAAATGTTAAGGCAGGATAAAACAAAAATGTATGCTTTTTAGATGAAATACTGAAAGTGATTGATTTTTCACTCATTAAAAATACACATGTAAGAGTTTTGTGTTTTGTTTGTTTTATTTTTCCAGATTATATACAACCTATTTGCTTACCAGAAGAAAATCAAGTTTTTCCTGCAGGAAAAAAGTGTTCTATTGCTGGCTGGGGTAGACTTTCTTCTCAAGGTAAATTGTCAGACTCTGAAAATAAAGTGCTTAGTAGTAAAATGCATGCTATGGTGCCATTCTGTGAGTATCTCTGACATTTTATAACTTTTTGCAGTATTTCTTTAAAGTACTAACAGACTAAGACACATATATTGTGTATCTACACAGTTAAAACCTTTTTTTCTAATTGTATTATAAAACTGTATATTATTAAAACTGTACTCCTTTGGAGGTGAATTTGATATCTAATTTTGGTATTATAAATACTGATAAAAGAAAAAATACATCTACTCAAAATAAATATAATTAAATGTTATAGGAGTTTATTTATAAAGTACATGGATAAAGTCTCATTGAAAGCCAAATTATTATCTGTTATAATCCCTCAATTAAAGAACCTGTATGTATCATGTAATGACCTTAAACTCGTATTCCCTAAATGAGTTTGAGAGAGGAATTCCTGGAGCTTCAACATGCTGATTCTGCCTACTGAGAAGACTCAGACATGGTACCAATCTTACACTGAAGACTAGAAATTGATATACCATTGATTCACTAGCATTCTTTAATATCACATTTTCTAAAAACAGAGAGGATGCATATTAAAACTAATCTAACATTTTTAATTAGTATTTGTTTATTGAGTTAACATTGATTTGCCTCATTGTTTGCATTTCAGAAGTGTAGGATCGCCCCCTTCAGAAGCTGTTGCCATAGCACACCCACCAGCCTAACATCCACAATCCACCTCCACAGACCCTTTGTCTCTCCCTTATTTATTCTCCCCTTTCCTTCCCCCTCCCTTGGCTGCTCTGGTTGCCTTCTGTAGTAAAGTTTCAAGGCTTAATTTTTTTAATTTGGCTTTACTGACCCTCCCTTTTATTAAAGATTTCTTCATTTATGCATATAAGAATTGAGGTGTAGGCCAGAGGTGCAGGGGGTGAGAGGATTCATCAGAGACAGAGTGGGGAGCAGAACAGCCACATCTATTGAAATACACGGCTGAAGGGAGCAGCAGGAAAGACAGAAGAGATCTGCTGTGTCCTGTGGGTTACCTGCCTTGCCAGGAATCAAACTCATGCTGCAGATAGCTTCATAGTGCTGAAACTTAACCCCTTGAGCCACCAGGGAAACCCTTTACTGAACCTTTTTTAGGTTTCTCTATAGTTCACATGTAAGTGACACCATCCAGTGTCTTTCTCCTAATTTCATTTAGCATATAACACCTTCCAATTCCATCCATGTTGCCTGAATGACTAGAGTTTAAAAAAGTTAAAGAAAATAGATTCCAATACTCCTTATGTCTAAATGTAACTACAATGCTTACTGGCTACAGAATTCCTAATGGGAGATACTCTATGTAGGTCAGGAATCTGACTACTCTTTAATAATTAACCAAAAAGGAAAGTCACTATAATTTGCTGGAGAACCTGGCCTCTAGAGTCACCACTGATTACTGCCAAGTATTTAATAATCCTAACTGCATTTAAGATAGAAGGGCGGCACACAGTGGATCTTGGGTGCTATGGTGGTGGGAGGAATTACACTTTTAGGGGAGATATCAAATACTGTCCAACAATGAACAACAATGTAGCAAAGTAAATAATAAAAATAAATCAGAAAAATGAAAAGGCACAAAACTTTGCTGAAAGGTGCAGGTCCCAAAAGCAAAGCATGCACAGCTAAAATACCCTTGGTTCTTATAAAAGAAAGTAACAAGTTCTAAGTCAAATCCTTGCCCCATGATTTTGACAAAGATTCTCCACTAGTGCACAGAAGTTAAAGACACAGCACTATCAAGCTATCGTCAGCCATTACAGCACGGGTTTGATCTCCAGCCAGCCAGGGAGCTATCCCACATGCCGCAGCAGACCTCTCCTATGTTGCTCGCTGCCTGCCTCAGCAGTGTAGTTTAATAGATCTGCCTGTTCTGCTCCACACTTTCTCTGGTGAATCCTCTTACCCCGCCTCCCACACCTCTGGTGTATAGCCCAGGTCTTGTATGTATAAATAAATAAATCTTTTTAAAAAAAATTCTTCTCTGACAAAGGCCATTGCTGAAAATGCCTCATATCTGCTGTCCATACAGTGTATTGAAGTCTGACAGTCTATTCTTTTATTTCCTCCCTATGAAAAATGTCATGATTCATTATAGTTGTAATCTAAAGAGTAAAAAATGATTCCTATATAGATATTTTCTTGACTAGATTTCAAACTAAAAGACATAATGACCATAATGTAGACTCTTCAAAAGCAAATTATCCACTAACAAAATTTAGGACTCTTCATTCTGTAGGAAATGGGTAGTTTTTGAAAGATGTGAGTAAACATGGCTCACATTTATTTATTGGCACCAAAGATAGACTTTTAATTGACTTAAGAAAGACTGCAAGAGTGACATGGAGCCAAGGAAAAAACTGTGTCTGAAGTCAATCTCATTTAGGAACAAACAACTGGCTCATGTTTAAATACTTTTAGCGTGATGGCAAATTTAACAAATTTTATGGACTTCAGCTTATGAGTTCAAGCAACTTATCTTTGTAATATTCCACCCCCCCTTTTGAATATATTATAATAACTAATTAACTAGGAAAACCATGAACATATCATTTACTGAAGAAAGGAAGTGATATTAAGGCAAATTAGTAAACTCAAAATAACTTTACTGCCATGTTTATGTTTGCTTCTCTGTGTCTATATGTATATTCTCAAGAATCCTCATGGCAACTCCGGTTGACAAGTATTAAGACCACTACTTAAATTTTCCTTTCCCAAACAGTTTCATCATATACCAAGCTAATTTCAGTACTCCTTGACAAGTAGCAAAATGGGCTTTGATTTATATTATAATACTAAAATCTATCAGTTTGTCCTGTTCTTCAGAGGATGGAGAGGCTGAATTTCCTCCTCCATCTTAACTTCTCCAGTTCACTTTCTTCACTCAAAACCATTGTCTTGTCAAATTTTAAAAGTCAGTGGTGTGTGGCAGAAGTACTGGCAGCAGATGGCAATAGTCACTTATGCACATCACATCCCAACTCTCCATCACTGTCATGCTCATACCTTGAAATTGACTGGATCAAATTGTTTATACCAGGTAAATCTGCAAACAATAGACATTGAAGCTTCTCCTTCCTTGACAGTCAGTTATTAAACATTCACCAGCACACAACTGAGTCATATATGTATTGCTCCACACCTAAATCACACACAAACACACACACACATATACACACAGTCTTACGTGCTTCCTCAGTCCTTTTGTGTGTGGATTAAATTTATCTGGAAGAGAGACGGCCTGCATTTTTGCAAAACTGCTAGCTATCATACATACTGACTTCTCCTCAACTTTTTGCACCTCTTGAAGAGCCAAATAGAATTGCTAATTATTAGAAAGTGCTTATCGTGTACCTTTTCTGGGGCACTAGACACCTGCTTGTTTTACAACCCTCTTGGGATAAGTATTTCAGTAAACAGAGATTCATGTTTCCAGGAGATGAATCATTTTGCAAAAAGCATGGAAGCACACTCTACAACAAAATGCCTCCTTTCTCTTCACCTGCACGTGGGTGACAAGCTGATTGCCCTTAGACCAGGGCACAGTTCATCTGAGCTTTGTCTTCTTCTCAATGTGCACCTGCTTACTCACACAGCATCACAAAGGAGCTGAATGCCATTAGAAAGGAACACCTCTTCAGGTGCCAAATGAAAAGCACTTCTGGATTTCTGAGCCGTTGCTAATTTCCATGAATGAAAGGCTTTGTGTGGCTGCGTTTATTTTCCCCCATGAGCAGTACTGTAAATGTTTAAAATTACTGAAAATGCCTAAAGATGATCTAGTCCAATCTAATTCCTGCTAGCCCTTGGGAACTAAAGAAACGCTTTACTGTTATCCATTTGGCAAAATGCACAGATGGGCTTTATTATGTACTTTAAAGTACAAGGTCTAGTATTTAGTTCCATTATATATACACACAGTACTGGATAACGAGAGTGAGCTGTTCAAATAAATAAGACTGATGGTGGCTCATTCAATGATGCATGTTTATCATTTCTGACTGTCTGGCTGCATTATCCATTTTGAACAGCTCCTCCTGCAGACGTATTGCAAGAAGCTGAAGTTCCTCTTATATCAAATGAGAAATGCCAACAACAGATGCCAGAATATAACATTACAGAAAACATGGTCTGTGCAGGCTATGAAAGAGGAGGAATTGATACCTGTCAGGTAAATACCTAAAACTGCTTTCCACAAAGCATTGCTATGAAATGATTTCATTGCTTAACAATGATTCGGGAGTAAGGAAAACACCAGGGTCTTAACTTTTCTCGTCTTTTACAAAACTGTGACTTCTACTTTTATTTGTGGTCTATTTGCATATTACTCCTGGGTGGATGTGATCATAAGAAACAAAACTAATTCTTAATAACATAGGTTACAAATTAGATGTCTTTTATCTTTAGAGACCAGCCATAAAATATGAATGTGTGACACAGGCAGGTAAAATATGCAGCAGTGGACCAGTTGTTGAACTGGATAATGCACACCTTCACTAAAAGCTTTATTTTCAAATTTCCAATTCTTTAAAACCCTATGTAGACTTGCAACAAACAAAAACTGGTCTGAGGATAAATTTGGCTGATTCTCTAATTTTCAACCCTGAGTGGAATCTGGGTATCCAATAACCTGGATGAAAAACAGTCAAGAGAACATGGTCAGAAGCAGCATACAGCTAATCACTTGCAAAAAGTTAAATGAAAAACTTATTCTAATCTGGTTCTGAAAATCCTATACTAGGAATTTTCATAATGTCATTAATATTTCACTTTTGAGATGTAATAACATGAACTCATTGCATGTCAACGTTGTAATATACTTGCACTATCAATGATTTTGACCTGAGTAAGCATCAAGCAAAATCTCTCACAATCACCCCCACTGAACAGAAAAACATCTAACCACAAAGAGATAATGTGGCATCCACTAACTCCATTAATCCACATATGCTCAACAATTTTGCTAGATTTTAGAATTATTATTATTTTTAGGTGCAATATGCTACAAGCATGAAGAACTTAGATTCTGTGTTGAACTACTCTTATTTGACTCTTGCTTCAACACTTATCAATGAGACACTGGGCAAGTCATTTAGGTTGGATTGAGAGGTTGAAATGAGGTCACTCATATAAGACCCTAAGTAAGCACTCAAAAATATTAACAGATTTTATAAATAATTTTTCTGGCACTGTTTCTATATTTGAAAATTAATAAAATACTAATGCATTAACATCAACTGTATTTGATTAAACCTGAGAGCAGTTCTAAACAAATGAATGACTTACAAATGTGGGAGCAGCCATTTATACCATGAGAAATGTTTTCATTTTCTTAAAGTAATGTTTTATAATCAACAAGTACATGTCGCATATACTAACACATGTATGTCATAATTTTACTCAATACAAAACTTAATAGACATTTAAGAAGATAAATCTGTATAGATATCCTCTAGTTCAGTCAGTGTGTTAAATCGTGTTAAACTTTCAACTTAGTTAAAACTTAGTTTTACATTTATTATGCTTTAGTAAACACTTGCAAATTCAAGATAAATAGATTTCTTATTTAAAATTTAAAATTTATCTCTGGATCTTACTTATCTTTTCCTTTTAAAATAGAAAGTGTGTTAAAGATAAGATATACTGCCACTTAGAAGGAGATGTATAGAATCACTGTTCAGGGGGAAATCAGCTATACTACTTCAATTACAGTTAATGGCGATTGTGTGGCCGACACTTCATGTACTAGCTGGAAAATATGACTGTCGATGCTATTGATGTTAGGGTTACATTAAACCAATAACTCTGAAATCTTGTCTTTCAGCCAGATCTCTGAAATCTTATATTTGGCTCTGATTTCTAGGTGGCCTAAATATGTTATTCATTAGTAAGTAAAAAAGTTCCCACTCAAGGCAATATCTGATGCAATAAAATGTATCATGATTAAGAAATCAATAGTCTAGAGAGTCATATGATTTTCTTTGTCCAACTTTAATGCCATGCTATATAAAAGGAGTAACTGTTTAAAGAAGAATGCATTACTTAAGATTATGGACAGGTTATTATTGATATATCACTTGAATAAGTTCTTTGAAGTATTACTTACCCCCCTTCCCATTTACAGTGGCAATGAATTGGCCATATTAGTCATTCACATTCTTGAAAGCAGAGGTTTGTATGTGCAAGGCAGTTGTTCACAATTCAAGGCACCATGAGTGAATGTAGAATTTCCTCTCTATATAAACTTAAGTGAATAACACAAAGAACAAACTCATTTTACTAACCATTCAGAGCCAAATTCCAGACCAGTGGTTTTCAAAGTATGGCCTCCAGTCCAGATCATTGACTGGTTATAGATGCATATTCTTAGGTCCCACCACAGGCTATTGAATCAGAGGCCCGACAGTGTTTGCAATCCTTCTAATGCCTACTGAAGTTTGACAACCACCGCTCTAAATGAAAATATTCACGAACCCTTACACTTAGATACTCCAAGAAGGTAGGTTGTTTTTATTTACAAATAGGGCATCTAAGTAGAAACAAATTTTAGGTTAATATTTCATATTCTGAACATTCATTGAATGCATCAGAATATCAAGACAAAAAGAAGTTACAAAACTGAGTTGAAGTGGTATAGTTAGATAATGGGAGGTGAGAGAATCAGTCATAGGTCTCTAGGCTGGAAAGCCCACCCCAGTAGTTGAGCATCAAGCCTACTCATGAAATCTTTTAATAACCACAACTGATCCAGCATGTGCTGGGTAAGTAAAATCATTGCTCAAGATATCAAGTGTCTGTATTCTATTATTTATTTTTAAAAATAAATTATTTTAGAATGAATTGAACTTCAGAATTTAAACTAAATTGAACTAAATTTTCTCTTAATATAAAGAAAACCAAATGAGTCTTTTAAAAATATTCAAACAATTGAGGCTTATTTTCATAATTTCTGTCACATATAACCTTGAGCTGTGTTTATTCTTATCTTGGTTTGCTACTGTTCCATAAATATTTCTAAGTCAGTATTATCAACTAAGAGCTTAGAATGCTGCATTAAAATCATAGTACCGCCTTCCAAACAACTCATATTGTTACATCTAGAAGTAACTTGTGGTTACCAATGCAATTTATGCTCCTCTACACCCAAGACAGAAAAGGTACTTTTATAGATCACCTTTTTCCTATAAATATTGAATGCAATGGTAATAAAGAAGTAGTAAAAAGTCAGAATATTTTATAACACAAGCTTGGATTGAAATATTCTATTGTACAGTGATTTCAAGGTACACAAGGTTTTAAATTCCTTCATAAATATTAAAAAAGACAGATTTTCTTAAAAAATTGCACAATTAATATGGAAAGCATTATGTTCATTTACATCACATGAAAATGCCATGTGCAAGTAAAGTCTATGTAATTAACTCTACTAGGGTCTGCTATAATTAATGTATATGAAAAACAAAAAAAATTTCATCAGTTGAAGTCCCAGATGAAAACAGGTGTGTCTATCATGAAAAATTATCATATATCTGTCTATTTCAGTTGAAATGCTAGGTTTTTTCAGATTGTGTTTGTCTAATGCCAAAAAGTTAGTGCTACCCAAGAAAACTAAAATCAACTTTAAATGTGAGTTTTCTAATTTTTCTAAAGTCCATAACATGGAGTAATTGTCTTTACCACAAAGTCCTTCATAGTGATTAGAACATATCTCCTTTAATAAAATTATCAGCTTTTAATACATATTTTGGTTAGGATATTTTTCATAGCCATAGAGAATTTCTTAGTCCCCATTTTAAAATGCCATATTTAAAGTGAGGAAAACCATGCGATAAGAGTGCATCATAAAAAGCTACATGGAGTTATGATTTAGTTAACCATAGTTTTCTGTCTTCTAACTGAGCAACACAGGGTTCTCATTCTTGACTTAGAGTTGATGTCAAGAATCATTACAGATGACTGGCAATTAAACCATAGTTTTGATTTTTGATTTTGAATTGATTTGCTAAATATATTTATATCAATTAACCACACATTCACAGTTGTCTTTTGCAATTTACTCTTTAGGGAGATTCAGGAGGACCATTAATGTGCCAAGAGGATGACAGGTGGTTCCTGGCAGGTGTGACATCCTTTGGAAAAGGGTGTGCGCTACCCAAACGCCCAGGGGTCTATGTCCGTGTCCCAAGATTCGTGGAATGGATACAGAGTTTTCTGCATTAGAGCACTTCCTGACCCAAGGGTGAAAATCAGGCAGCTTTCCCATTCTCCTCAAAGGAACATGGAAATTGAGAGTTTTGTCAAAAGTAGTTTCTAAATGCCTTTATTCTTCTCCAAGTCACTGAAATCTTGGGGGCAGCTAAATTAAAATTGATGTTGATGATAGAAAGTGAGTTTAAAATAATACCTATGGATAGTACTATGAATAGCTGTTCTTTCATGTATATCATTTCCTTTGTTTCTTAATCACTATTATCACATTTTCTCTTAAAGGAATGCTATGTTAAAGCATTACTATACACTTAGTATAATATTAAGAGTTTATATAAAATTAGGGGGGAAAAAAGTGAAATAAACTGCACAAAGTATGTGATAGTTTAGAATAACTGCTGTGAATTATCTAGTTACAGCTTATATTATTGTTATCAGAATCTAAGTTGTCTTCCTACTTTTCTATACAAATGTATTTCCAGTTCAGCATGAGCAAATCCTTAATATTTTTCCTACTCATAGAAAATATTTATTGTAACATCATATCACAAACCTGGGCTAAATTGATTGCACTTGCATTTTAAAAATAAAACATGAATTTACTAATTTGGACAATCTTTCATTGAATTATTTTTTACTTGGATTAGGAATACTGTCCATTTATTTCAAGCTTGTATATTTTTGACTTACAAAAAACTAATCAGACATGTGAAAGACATGCAACTATTAGAAATGTTTTCTTTTTCCTGGTTAATGTGTGTTACAGTGGATGTTTCTAACATGTGCAAAACTTATTTAGATGCAGCTGAATTGCCCATCAGAAGGCTAAAATGTGGAATAAATGAATTGGTTTCACTGCTTTAATGTCCTGGATCATTTCCAGAGTAAGTGCAAAGTTCAACTTAACTTACTAAACAAAATCTGTTGATTTGGAGGGAAGACAAAATACATCCCTATTTATCACACATACACACCACACACACACACACACACCACACACACACACACACATGCACGCGCGTGTGCACGGGCACATGCACGTGCCTTCTTGCATAAAGGAGAGCATAAAGTTTAAAGGAATTGAAAGAAGGACACAATCAGTGGAAACTGGTCTTATAGGAAAAACAAAACTTGTGCTAACCTGGAAGGAATGATTATTACAGATGTATTGAAGAGGGCATTGGAGACCATTGAGCATGTGGGAACGACCCTGATAGTTAAAAGACGGGACAGTAGAGACTCATGTGTTTTCATACCAAAGTATATATATATATATATATTCCTACTAAAGAATTGTAAATTCTCTATCTGAATATTGTTCTAAAACTCATTTGCATTTCAAAATCACATTGGAAGTATTTTCTGAAAACACAAATAGCCCAACAAGTACACATGTACTCTTTTCATGTTTAAAAGTGAACTAAAATTTTTAAAAAGCCCTTATCAAAGCCCCATGATCATTTTCTCACAAAAGGGAAGTTCACTGCCTCACCCCTAGTAACTGTTAGAGTTAGTAATGAATTGGGCTGGAATTCTTGTCTCAGCAAGGTAAGAATTCAACATCAAGACCAGAGTTAGGCAGAAAAGCAAGTTTGTTGTCAGGCAAAGAGAAGGACAGGGAAAACTCTCTGAACAGAGACATGTCCCAAGTGGGCAGCTGTTCAGGGGTCTCTGGTTAAGCCTTTTATGTCTTTTTTTAGGGTGGCTTGGGTGAGGAGGTTGTCCTCTTCTGGTTGGTCAGCACCTAATGGCCTTTGTGGTGATTGGTTCAGGGTCTCCCCACCCATCTTGCTGCCATTTTGCAAAACTTTCGCTTGCTTTTTTATTTTTTACTGGGTCGTGTTTTTCAATGGGTCCTATTTTTTACCATTGTCAGGGCCCATCCTATTTGTCACTGGGTCCTGTTTTTCAAGGGCTCTGTTTTTCACCAACTCCTGATTTTTATAATTGTCAGGGCCAACTCTGTTTTACTGATTGGGGCCCCAGGACTCTGAGTAGCTGTCTACCTGGTCAACTAACTTCCTTCTTCAGTCATGGATACCAGGAGAGTTATCCAAGTGTGGATAACTCAAGACAAAAGGCAAAAGCAAGGCCTTTCCCTATTGCTTTGCCTCTTCTTCCACACAGCAATGTGGTGGCACAGACAAAGGGTGAAGACTAATATCTCTTCCACCAAGTCCTGACTGAAGGAAGAAACACACAGCACAAGCTGGTAGGGAAGAAGTGGATCCCAGCAGCTGGTCTCCCACTCTTCTCAGAAAGATGAGTTGCCAAGAAAAGAGAGAGAGCACTAAATTCGGGCAGAATCCAAGCTTAGAGTACAGCTGCCCATTCCTTCAGTCTCCAAGCAGCTGAAAGGAGAGCAGTTCCACTAATTTCTACTTTGCCTCTTGTTTTTGCCAACCAACTCCAGTTGTGAATTGCCCTAATGAAAGTTCTTCATTATCTAAAGGAAAAGGATTGATTAGGAAAAGATGAAGTTTAAAGCACTATAACCACACCTTCCATCCAGTAATTTGTTCTCATCTTCATATATTCGTGCAAACATATCTCTACTTGTGTCACTTAAGAGATGTAGGCAACACCAATAATTCTTCAGAAACAAGAACTTTTTATTTGGTTAAAAGGAGCATAGGGACAGTTACAATTCTCTCTTGAGCAGAAGGAGCCATAAGCATTTGTGAAACAAGAAGACTGAAGAGACCCAGTTTGCTCTCCCAGTCAAACCCTCAACAACACATAATCATTGATACCCTCTAACCCATTTTCACACCAATTCATAGTTTCTTTCCTTGCAGAAATGTCAATGAGCTGTGCTTACCTCCACACCCATGGTGACCACTCAGCCGGTCCCAGCTGTAAATTCTTTTATATACTGAGGCTCAACAGCCAGGATAAACCTTCAGGATACTCTGTAACTATTTATATGCCATCCATGTCAATCCCAGTCTCCAAACAACCTTCTTTGTTTTGTGGTCAAGGGAGGAACCAAATTGCTTCCAGAACCTTCAGAGAGCTACTTGTGGTTAAATAGGCAACATGTGAAGACATATGATTTACATTGTATATGCTGCATCTTTTGTTCTAGATCGACTGTATTATTGTTTATCTAGCTTTTAATAAAGTTATTACAAAATCTGTTAAATTAAAACTAAAAATAAATTGTAAGGCACGTGTCTTGCACAATTGAAATTAGACAATCCTTGCCTTTTTGGAAAATATTTAAGTAGATTTATAGCACAGTTAATGAAATAACTTCTTATTTCTGAAGAGATTTCCTAAGCATTGTCTGACCAAATGCAGAGAAATTGAAAGAAGATGAACCATTTCTAGAAAAGAAACTTTTTTATGATATTATATTTTGTATGTGTGTGTAAATTCAGTTGACAACAGTGATAAATTCCTTTAATCAAAACCGCATGTATTGAAAAATGAAACACCATAAAAATAAATATTAGAACAGTCCATTTTTATCAAACACTTATGTAAAGGTAAAATTTTTTGCACAATGTAAATTTCAATACAATTTACATTACATTAACTAGATTATAACCTATGAAAAGAGAAACAAAAATAACTGCTTCCAACACATATACTTCTCATGTGTTGATAGCAATTTTATCTATGTGGTCCATTCTATTTATTTGAAGTCTGGGTGCATCCTTTAGCAAAATAAGCATGTCTCACTCCTTTATTAGCACAGCGTATTTTGTTAATGAAATAATAAACATATAAAAATTATTTTAATATCTGCCTCAAGGGGGAGCTTACAGTTCATCTTGCTGATTCTTTGAGATTTCAAGCCATTCCAAGCTAATGTTCTGATGCCATTCCTTACACAGATCCAGAATTATAAATCTCTGTTTTCTTTTCTGGAGCCAAGTTAATGAGTTATTATACTTCCATGCCACTTTCTTTTCTGGTGCTTTTTGAAATCCACAGTGTGGACTGGTTTGGACTAGTTTTGGTTCTTCCTTTACTGAAAAACATAAGAAGTTCAATGCATGAGACATCTTATCAGTCTAGACCTGTCTTTGTCCAAAGGTGATCTCTCCAGACCCTTGTTACCGAAGGGTCCTTTTCTCACCAGCATAATTTTTATTCCTATAAAAAATTCTATATTATTCTTGTAGATGAAGATGGCAAATAGTTCATATAAAATACTGAAAAAAAACATAGAACTTTGTTTGGCCCTTCATAGTTTACCATGCCCCACACACACACACACAAACTCCTGAAACAACACAAAACTTTTTATAATAATCCCCAATAAATTTTGATCAATAGTTTTTGAGATGTTGCTTTTTGAACCTTTTTTTCTTAACATATGATGCATTTAATGCTAAACATCAAATAATGGATTTGTCTTAAGTCTAAGGGCCTTCTCATTCCTCTCCTCCCATTGGTTTTCCTGTCATATTGTTAACTCACTTAAAAGTTTGATTTTGTGTCAGTTTCTGAAACCAATGTAGTTGAAAGCAGATTCAGGCCTTGATAATTTGAGTATCTGAGTTCATCTAGATGTGAGATAGAACATTGTTCTTGTCAGAGTGAGAATTCATGTCCATATATCCAGCCTATGCCTCAGGCTGAGGTGATTCTAACTCCTTTTTCCATGAAGTGGTAATATAACAATGACCTACAACAATGTAGGCTCCTACAACAATCCTGTTCCTGAGTTAACTCAAGTCATCATCTATCAAAGACTACCTATCAAAGGTCTAGATTCTCATTGGTCTAGTTTCTTAAGAAACTAGAACCTCTCACATGAACCACAAGCCACTTCCTGTCTTTGTTAATTTTGTTCTGAACTTCCTTGCTCTCCTCTAACATCTGTTCTAGAATATGCAGGCATTCTTTCTGCCTCATCCCAGTCACACTCCATTTACCAGATGTTGGAGAATTTCAAAGAAAGAACATTTCCTAAACAAGCCTGAGTGATAGAGTTTTCTAATATTACTTAACTTCAATTTAACTGAGGACTTGTTACTAATAAAATATTATGACCAAATTACAGTTTGGACATGTACATCAAAATAGTTTGAACAATTCTTTATCCATGAAGTCATCTAACATCAATGGAAAATAAGTCAAGCAAAGTTTATGAAAAAATGACAGTTTTTTTAATGGTAGGAAAAAAAGGTGGTTAAGTTATTAATGTGACTTTTGTGTAGTGTTAGTATTTTGAGTCACTACTAGCTAAGGAAACAAGGGTTATTATTTTGAACATGACATGGAATGACAGAAACCATCATGTGTACCAGATTGGAATTTAAACTTTCTGCAAGGCATTCAGATGATAATGGAGTTGAGTCTTTGATGAAGTTTCTCCTTGCTTTCCTGGAAGAAAGGAAAATGGCAGGATCTAAGAACGAATGAATTAAGCTCAAAGCTAATTCTGGCATCTGCAGGTACTCTACTTTGGTTATTTTCCCACTCTGAGAATTTCTAACAAGAGAAAACTCCATAGATCTTCAAGGTGTAAAAGTCTGGAAAATTTAGGAAGAATAGACTCACCATAATATACTATTTGGCAGAAGGAAAACAAACTTCAGGAAAAAAAAAAAAACTTAGTTAATGGTAGTTTCATAATTTTTATTTTAGAAATATGAAGGTCTATATAATATTTTTCATATCATTTTTTTCAAGCTGATTTGTCATTAGCAGCTCCTCAACAGTGAAGCTGGTCTAGGCAGTATTTATATCAAATCTTCTCTGTACTTTATAGATTTCACAGTGATAAGCCATCTTTCTACCTATTTTATTAGTTAAGTCAGGACACAACAAAAACTCTTAGATTCTGATAATAGAATAGTGGTTACCAGATGGGAAGAAAGGGGGATAGAATAGCATGACGGTGGGTGATGATTGGACATTTGGTAGAGGTGATGTTGTGAAATATACAGTTGCTGGAGTAAGAAATGACACCTGAAACCTATATCATGTTGTAAACTAATGTTACCTCTACAGAAAAGGGGGTGGGGGATTATGGCAGGAAATGATTTTTACTACGTTTCACATAAATATTGGAAGGCCAAGAGTACACAAAATATAGTGTTAATTTTAGGTATTATTAATTTTACTTACTATTACCAGGTTTTACTTATCATTACTCAAGATACCTCGTTTATACAACCACTGAATTTAGATTGGATTCTTTTAAAAATGCATGTGAACCATTTAGAATTTTCATCTTTTGGTGGGGGGGGGTGGGGGCTTGTGTTACTTAATGGATTCTTGAGAGTTTATGTCATAAAAGAAAAAGATGAAGTAAAATCAAAAGAGAAATATGTCTTCACTTGCAGTCTCTTTGTAGATGGAGACATTTGCTTGATCGATATTAATTTAGAAAACTCTAAAAAAGTGTCTAGTTTATTCTAGGAAACATGTTCTTATTTAAATCCAACATCTTTCCTCTTTTCCTCTGATAAAAATTTATATTCATTAATCTGTTAATTTAATGGACAAATTGACACAAATGGAAAAAAAAATCTCACCTGTAACTCAAAGATATGCTCAAATAATCATAAAAGAGAATGCTCAAGCATCTTGTTAAGATATTTCATTTTATTTCAAGATATCTACTAAAAATGACCGATATTTACCATTGTGCTTTATTTCCTGCATTTAAATGATCATTTTGAAATAAAACAGAAGCCTACAACTTGACATTTTGGAAAGGTACTCAAAGAGCATCTAGAACAATCAAATCTTGCATACAACTTGAGACAAGATTGAAAAGTTTAAGATGAATGCCTACACTTAATAAAAAAAAGAGACAGTATAGTAATTACCTTTTATGTACCATCTGGAAACAGCAGGTTCCAAAAGCTACCAATATCAGTAACAGCAGTGGAATCGTTGGTATAACAACATAAATTAGATTGGGAATTATGCCTATAAAATTAAACAGTTTTAGTGTAAAAACATAGTTGAGGCAAGTGACTAACATTAAAATTTTATAAAACTATTGCAAACATTTAAGGTTAGATAGAATTATTATCAATAAATAGATTGCAAGCAAAGTTCTTCCCAAAATACTGAATAATCTAGCTAAGTATATATTCATGTTTGGTAAAAAATAAAAACAAAATTATGCTGCAGTAGTTGCAATGCCCCACTTCAATGTCCATTATTAAATCTATAATTCAGGTGACAAATTTTCTTAATGTATTATTAATCTTAGCTATTTCACTTCAGTAAATCCTCCTCAGTTACCACTTAGAGAAATTAAGCACTGATTATTAAAGAATAATAATCACTATTAAAATAATTGTTGATTTACTGGAAGTGCAATTATCTTCGCCAGTAAGTTCAATGGCATGATGACATGTAATACTCTGAAATTAGTACAAAATAGGCAAATACTAGCTGATGATAAGTCATAACACAAAGAAAAAAAAATTCCACAGGCATAAAGGCTTGATATTAATTAAATTCTAAAATGAATCATTTTTTAAACTCCTACAGTTTAAAATAACTTTATTAACCATTTTTAAATGTCATAAAAGGGAAAATATTCTAATGTAATTAGCTACTGATACCTTTAATTAGCTTTAGATATTTTGCATGGTTTTAAAATCAGATAACTACAAAACTAAAAGCCCTACAGTTTAGGTTCATGTTCATACAAGAAAAGCAAATTGAAAAACTAAGTACTTAGTTAGCAAATCGAAATCTTCATTATAATCAACATAAACAATTCTTGCCAAAGTGGACCAGACTTAGATCAAATTGGCCATTAAACTGCACATCACTTCCTTTGGTTATAGGAGATACATTAACTGAGGTCCAGTGATGGGATATTTGGGGAAGAGTTTGCTGTTTTCACCTACTCTTTAACCTCTAACAAGTGACTGCAACCATTTAAATGTTCAAGAAATGTTTCCTTTTCTTTCCAAAATACCATCATGATCCCATATACATAATAGTAAAGAAAAAGTGAGTGTTTCTTACTCTTTGATGGATTTGGGGAAGATTTTGAGACTTGGGTTTGGGGTTCCATCATAACAAAACAACTAAGATAAATTGACATTTCTGTTAATTGGCATGGATCCATGCAAAATTAGCCTAAGAGCTGCTTTTGACTGACTTGGAATTCGCATTGAGAGTGAATTTTGTTTCTGTAGCAGACAGTTGTGTGGTAGAGACAGCTGGGTTGAGGCGTGCATTCTTCCCTAACTGCTATTACACGGTGGTAGCTTGGATTTTGTCAAGATGGGAATATTTACGCCATGGAAATCTGCGAAGGCTACATAGCAGGCTTTCATTATATAGCCACACCCATCCCAGACCATCTCTAAACATTCACCATCACACCACTATTTGTTGGTCCCTGAATGTGCCAGTTTATATCACAGTTCATAATGTTGGAGAAGTGCCTTGGGGGTCCAGGTTTTAAAATGAATTTACTTAGTCCTAGATACTACCATTTAAAGTAAAACATTGGAGGAAAAAAGTTTCTTTTATTCAAAAACTAGCCTATTGTCATTTGTTCTAATCTAGTTCAAAAGTAAATTTCCATAGCGCCGTATTTAGTGCATCAAACAACAAGAAAAGTTGAGGTCAATGTACAGCAGTTTAAAAGATCAGTTTCTGTTTCTGATCTAGGTGTCAGATGAACTAATTACCTGCTTCAGTAACAACCACATTTTGATGGGTGTCACCTGGTTGATTTGTAAAATAAGTCTTTTCGACAGGAACTGTTGGATTAATCTCTGTAAAAAGAAAATATACAACCATCATATAGCAAGATATCTGCAAAAATGGATGAAAATAAATATAACAAAACAGCAATTATTTGCATGTCTATGCTAACAGTCTATAGGAATAATGACATGCAAAGATAGGCAAAAAACAAGAATTTTTGTGAATAAGAATGTGCACAAAATAACTGCAATTCAAAGATAGGCAAAATTAGTTTCTTTACTAATCAGTAAAATATTGAGGATTTCCCCTGCATTATTAATCAGCAGACAACTGTGCATGGATTGCATCTGGAATTAGTGATTCCAGTAACAATTGTTCTATAGCACATTTCTGTCGCATTTAAATACAACCACTCTGAGATTGCTTCAAATATGGTCTACTTCATTAAAAAGCAATAATAATAAATTTAGGTTTTTGGGTTGTTTCTCTGGTTTAATGAGATAAGATATCCTCAGTTGCTACATACTTAAAATATTGAAATTTATTGCCATGTTCTGGTACAGCTGTGTTGCTTAATTTTTTTCCCTAGAATATTATTCATAAAATTAAAATTCAGTGTAAGTAAACAGAATTAATTAAAAATGTCCTGTAAATTTGCTTTCATTAGTTCTAAAAATGTTAATTAGTACTTTTGCCAATTGATGTGAGAAAAAAGGCACATGAAGCATGTTACACAAATTCACCTAACACTTTGCCTCCTCTAGGTTTCAGATATAGCCCTACCCTATACTCATTCCACTATGGAAGAATCCTTCTTATATACTCTATGCCTGGAGTTGCTCAACTGGTATTTGCTGAACAACTAATACATATTATGTAATTTATCAACACAGAACTGGTTATTTTTTTTTTAATTTTATACTCTTTCAATTAATGCAATGGCTAACAAAATTTTGGAAACAGAATCCCATACATACTATATTTAATGTCCAAGAACAAAAAGTATATAATGCAACTTTAATAAACACAAAGTTAGGTTCAGAGATAACCCCATAAAAAAAGTCTGAAGATTGCATTGACCTGAGCTACACTATTGTGATTCCTTGTTAAAAATGCTAAATTTGAGTAACACAATTCAACTGAATTAATATGCTATTTGATCAAGAGGGAGACTAATCAAAACTATATAATCCATTTTTAAAATCATTTAAGAAAATCAAAGTAGATAATAGTCTTTGAGTTTCTTTTAGTTCTTTTTCTTCTACTCAGGGTTTGGAAGTGTTATTTTCACACTTTGAAACAAAGAACAGATATGCAACCATAGGACAATAAGAAAATGGTGGAGAAGAAAGTAAGAAAACTCACAAGTGAATTACTCATATTCTGTATAGATGGAGGAGACCAAATTTTATTTACAGTGTAGTTCTAATACAGCTGATGAAAAAGCTCAAAATAAGTAGCATTATAGTTTGTAAATGTTATTTAGTCCTACTGTTTAATCTGCCGATGACCTCAACCCTAAAA